AGCATTGGACACCTCTTATTGTTTTAGAGATCTTTTAATCTATAATACTTTGAACTTTCTTAAGATCCATCATAAGTCCACTATTTGAAATAATGTATCTTAAGAAATTGACTTAGATAGTATAAAATATATACTTTTTTATTTTGGCATAGAATCCTATATTTTTTAGTTTTTGTAATACATAATGAATATACAATTCATATTCTTTTATATTTTTAAAATAGATTAAGATATCATCTAGGTAACAGATAATAAAATTATTTAAAAATTATCAAAGAACATCATTTATTAGATGTTGAAAAGCTACTTGTATATTTTTAAGTCTAAAAAGCATGATATTACATTCAAAATATCCATACCTACTTTGAAATATAATCTTTCATTTATCTCCTCCTTTGATGTATATCAAATTATATGCTCCTTATAGATCTATTTTTGTATATATCTTATCTTAATTCAATTGATTAAAGATAGCAAATCTTTTATTTATCTCCTCCTTTGATGTGTATCAAATTATGTATTCCTTATAGATCTATTTTTGTATTGATCTTACCTTGATTCAATTGATTAAAGATAGCAAATATATGTTTTTAATGGTAAGTCCTTAATAATCAATACACATTTGTAATGATTTTTTTTTCAAATAAAATTGGAGCTCTTACTAGGGATTTGGTATGATAAATAAAGTTTAATGCTAAATTTTCTTCAATATATTTCTTCAATTCAGGTAACTCATTTTATAATAAATTATAGATTGGTCCAAATGACGGTTGAGTACTTTCTTGAAGGTCAATTGAGTAGTCATAGGGATGATATTTCAAAAGATTATTTATATTTTTTTCTCAAATACATCTTAAAAAACTTGATATTTGCTTTAAATACTACTTGAAGTTATTTGACCATTAGAAACAAGTATGACATAAATGACACAAGATAATTTTTTTTTGTAATATGCAAAAAAACTCTTGCATTTACAAATACATATTTAATTACATTAAATTTTAAGGTTTTTTACTTAACTACATTCTTAATTATACTTTTAGAAAAATCAAGACTATAAGAAATCTAATTTATTTTAAGATTATATTTTTTTAATCATGATAAATCTAAAATAATTAGATTAGAGGAAGATCTAATAATATTAAATATTATAAAGCTACTATGACTATTAGTTATTATTTCTGTAGGAAGGATTTCATAAGTAACGTCTTTCAAAGATAGTGAATGACCATCTATGACTTCTATGCAAATAGGTTTAGTTTTTTTTATTAAAAATATGTTATATCTTTTAGCAAATTTTTCATCTAAAAAATATATTGGAACTCTTGAATCTAACAAGGTAGAGGCTTTATGATATTTAAGTCCTAAAATAATATTTATTATAAAATAAAATAAAATAAAATTGAGGAAAAAATATGACCTTCACTAAATGTTGTACAAGATTTTAGCGACACAATCACTATTATAGCTAGGCAAACTTGTTTTCTAATATACTATCTTTTTTAATAGCCATACTCCTTATTTTGTGGTTGCATCACATCTTTGGATAATATTTAGAAGTGAGTTTAGGTTCTTCATAATACAAGCACATCCTTCTTAACAAGTCTTGTCTTGCTTAATAAGAGATTTAAAATGTATCACATTAATTTATATATTTTTTATTTTTAAATATATATATTAATGAGACATTCATGTTGCTATTGAATTATGATAATATTGAGGCATATTTATATAATTTTTAAATTAAAATTTAAAAAGTTAATTGTTTTACTTTATAATAAATTAAATTGCTTGGATCAATGTTTGAGTTTCAAGTAAGTTGAGCATGAATTTTTTTACCTCATATTGTAATCCATAGAAAAATTGACTAACAAGTGTAGTATTATTCTACTTGATATCAGTTATAAATTATAAAAATTATAAAATATATAATATTATTAATCAATTTTTTATTATAAAATATGAATTTTATTGGTTGCAACACAAATTGCATCATGTTTTTTTATACATGGATCAAAACTTTGCCAAAAAATCTCAAAATTATCCAATATTGGACCTTATTGTTCAAAAAAAGATAAAAACCATGATAGTGTTGAACTTGAAAGAAGTGTACCAATGAATCTAACTTGCAAATTTTACAGTTAGATAGCTTTAGAATTGAAGTTCAATCACAAGTTGTATTTGATTGATAAATCTTTAAAACTTGGATATTGTGCCATCAAATTTCTTAGACAATACAATCTTTACTTTTCTAAAAGTGAAAGGATATTCTACCATAGGAGAAGGATTATGATTTAGTACAAATGTTGAAGCACCTCCAATCATCTCTATATCTTTGCTTCTTGCCATTCTTCTTGCTCCTTGTGGTGGTAAATTAAGTTGATGCATTACAAGCATTAACTTCTTCAATTGTTCTTGTATTTGTACTATTACACTCTTCATTTCAAAAAGCTTTATTATAATAATAGTTAAAGAAGAAAAGATATTTAATGTTGCTTAAGAAAAATAAAAGAGATGACTTGAAAATAGAAGAAATACTAAAAAAAATATATGTTTAGAAGAAGAGAATCCGCAACTTCTAATATGCTTATGTCATATTAAGAGAAAGGAATAATCTACTTTTAATCAAGAAATAACAAAGCTTTAATATTTTAAATCTTTTTTTGTCGATTTATCAAAAATAAGAACCTAATAAAAACAAATAATCAAGTATGACTTTCTTCAAAGAAGTATGACAAAATAAAATAAAAAAGAAACATGTATATTAAAAGAAAATTAAAATAGCTATTACCAAAAGATAAGAAAATTAAAGATTCTTGAATCTAGACTAAAGCAAGAAAAGAATTGATAAGAGTGAAGAAAGATTCACTCTTGTCTCTATATATATTATCCATCTAAAAGCTACATGATGATGTTCTATAGGAAGTTCAATATGTGTTGACTTTGCAAGCCACATGTCTTAACTTATAAGGTAAGTTTTCTATAAATTGTGCCACATATTTAACTTATTTCTCAAACTATCGATACATGTAACATGTAGTTAACTTGTTGATTAAATTTATAATATAAAAATTAACTATAAATATGTATAAAGTCAAAATCATGTCTATGAAGCTTCTAAAAAGCTTATTTAGAAGATATTATGAAATTAATCTATTTTTATTTATTTTTATGTACTTCTAACTAATCATATAGATAATTATTAGAATAAGTATGTATATTTGTGACAAATTTCTTCAAGAAATTTTTTATCTTGCATTGTTTGTGTATTCCAATGTAATCTCTATCATGACCTTTTATATTGTATAATACAAGAGTCAATACTATCCATTTAGTATGTTTGTTTTTGAGATTTCAAACTCCCTGTTTTGCTCTTCAGTGCTAAAAGTCGCAATGCTATAAGTTTTATTTTCATATGAAAGGCTTGAGATAGTTATGCCCAGAAAGATTGCGAAATGGATATTTTCCACCTTCCATGCTTAGGTTTTAAGTTGAATTTAAAGTAATATATTATCTTATAAAGTCGATGGGAGTATTTGCTACTAGAGTCTACTCATGTTTCTCATGGTACAGATTTTTGGATTGTATTCAATTAATGCCACTATAATACATAGATATTTATTATGACTAAATTGAGTCTAGTGATAGAACGAGGATGTTTCTTCTCAAGTCTGAATCAAATTGATTTGTTTATGCTTTAAAATGATTCTTTTATGGAGATAGAACATGATTTGATTAACTAAATATTTTGTATTATTTTTATTATCCATATTTTTTTATCACATCTTTATGAAAGGTAGAATAAAATATATATATATATATATATATATCAATAATCATCAACATTTTGATTGTTCCTATCGCATGTCTATAGAAAGTTGAAATAATTATAAAAAATATTATTTTTCTTTCTAAGGTACTTTCTAAAATAAATACAGTTTAATATGTACCATATATAGTATAAATATTATAGCCTTGAATATCCTCCAAGCTTTATATTTTCATATTAAGTTAGTTGATGGATAGATCTCTTTTGAGCTGCCATATAAATTTCTTTGTAGGTCGTTCATCTAGTTGTCATATATTAGTACCAATCTTATATATAATTTCATTCAAGGTCATTGGTGGTTTTTTCTTCTTTTTCTTCCTATTTATTTTCTTGGATTTTTTTATAACTATGCATTTGAGAATTAGAGAAGATTGAATCTTATATTCAAATGAGCGACATCTATTGCACTACAAGTGCAATCAATTGTATTTTTGCAAATACTCCATCTGGCCTTTTTTTATTAAGTTAAGGAAAAAGAATGGATTGAGGTAACTTCTTCATATCTTTTGTACAAATACAAACTCATAATCTTGATGTCTAATAATATAAATATTGATATCATCTACAAATAATATTTCAAAGAATGTCAAGAATATTTTCTTTAAGAAAGCATGGACTATTAGGAAGATGGTAACTTGAAAATTTATGCCCAAATACAAGTTATTAGGCTCAATTTGTCAAATAGTACATCTGAGTTGAAATATGATGACTAATCATTGAATTTTATCTCATTAACATTCAATCTATACTTTTAATTTGCCAATGTGTGAGTCTATCTTTTTTCTTGAGAGAATTGAATCTCAAAATAATTATTAGAGCGGATTGTCAATTGGTGGAAAGATTTGTGTAGAGAGGATATAACCCATGTTGCTAATTTCTTAACCCTTGATGTGCATTCTATAATGTGCCCTAATACCATATGTTTTGAAAAGTTGTTCATCCTTGTTTTGTATTCTTAAAATCTATCTAATTCCAAAATTATCTTCAATGGCTCTAACATAACAAGGATTCCTAGTGTTTCCTTTGGTTCCACTACTATTTTCGTTTAACAAGGATTCCTAATATTTCCTTTGGTTCTACTACTATTTTTGTATAACAAAGATTCCTAATGTTTCCATTGGTTCCACTACTATTTTAGTTTAACAAGGATTCTTAATGTTTCCTTTGGTTCCACTACTATTTTTATTTAACAAGAATTCCTAATGTTTCCTTTGGTTCCACTACTATTTTAAGTTCTCTTGATGCCTTTTCAAATGATTGTCTTTGTGTGATATCTGGAGGCCACTTCTTGGCTAAATTTGGAACTAATCCGTTTTCCTCTTCTCCAATCTTTTGTACACTATGTGGTTGTTGATAATCTGGGTAGTGGGAAGTGAGATAACTAAGTAGGCCAAGAGTTATCTATTTGACCAGCCCTTCGACTTCATGAAATTTTGATTTGAAAAATGTTAAACCAAGTTGCCGATACTTTCTCAGTATCTATTCTCCCTTAAATCTATGCTACTGTATCTGGCTTTGTATTGCCCAAAATCCTGCGAAATTCATGTCCTTTTTGTCCTCAAGTGGGGTCCTTTCCATGAATCCCACTTAAGGTTCAGCCACATTATGACCCATGGGTTAGGGAGTTTGTATTCCCTGCGTTGGTGTATTAGGGAGGCGTACGACACTCGCTTTCGTCCACCTCGTCCAAAACTGGAAGCAAATTGAGAGTGAGTTTCAAAATTACCTGTTTATTTGACGTCCAGTAACTTGGTGTGCCACTTAATTGCGCCAATTCTGCGTGTTGTTCCTTCTCCATTGTGAACTCCCTTATGCCTCCATTGTTTTCCGCCCTCACCCTCGCTCTCATCCAACTTGAGTTTCCGATGTTGGCTTGCGGAATATAGGCGAATAGTGTTTCTACCTGTGTGGACCTTTCCTCCGAATCTCCTACTGGCACTGCGACTGCATGAAGGGCAAGAGATTTGCCCTTTAGTTGTGCTCTGGCTAGCCCGACCAGCTACCACATTCTTGTCCATCTCGACCAAAACATCTCAAACAAAACTACGCGAATTAGGTGCAAAATGATCAGCTACTGATGCATTTCACAACACTAATGGTAATGCAAAGGAGAAAACACACAATCAGTACATATAATCCCAACTATCCATCTCCCTAGAAAATCGGATCTAGGTGGAGAATGTGTCTCGGATTTTCACGGAGCCCCGAGGGCCCGGGACCGGGAGGGTATGATGCCACCACACCAGCTGCACCTCGGAAAGGGGCCTATATGTCAATAAATCCACTAGGCCCCATCTGCTCCGTGTCACCATTCGCTGATTTCTCACACCCTGTCAATGTAAATGTCGCTGCAACTCGTGAATCTTCTCATTCTCGCTCTCCGCGACGGGATGCACTCCACCGAATGCACAACCTCAGCAATGTTCTGATGAAACCGTTTGAAAAAGATTCACATTTGGAGAAGATTCACGAGTTAACACGATGGCGACCGAGTACGTCCAAGACTCAGTCCAAAGTCGTTTGGATCGCCAGAGGTGGTGTAATTGAGCAGAACGCCTCAAACCGTGCTTGATGACGGACCAAATAACCACAATTAGACATCACCCATCAGCTATACCAAACTTTTACTCCATTTCACTACAAATCGCACATTTTTTAGAACAATTCAACGCCCTGCATCCCATCAAACATGTGCATGTGCAATGCATGACTGCCAAAGCTTTCAACTCGACTGTAGAAACGTGTACAAAACATAGAAAACAGTGATCGTTGCAGGAGAGCCACTTCTTCACATCGCGTACAACGTAAACGTTGTGCGCCACGAAACCTCCTCACGGCCAACACAAAGAGAGGAGAGGCGAAACTCAAACGGATTGCAGTACATAAGCAACCGCAGGCTGGAAACCTGGAGGAACACAGAGTACAGAGCCGAGAGGAGCTAGTGCTATACAAATTCACCTACATGAAACAATGTGAACTTCCGAATCATGCCTACATGAAACCGATCCAATCCGCCCAAGCAAACTTACCGTCATCTCAAATTACAAATCACCTCGGCATTTGGGACGCTATTTCCAAGCACTTGTGCTCGCGCTTCAGCCCACTCAATCCACCGTGTCCTCAGCACACCACTCCTTGATCCAGGTTGGATAAGGCGCTGGATATCAGAAGAGAAGACACGCGGAGCGCAGCAACCACGGGAACAGAGCAACTCGCACACTACACAACAGAGCAAGGTCACAACTGTAGGCGAGGGCGAGGAATCTCAAAGCTTGAAGTCAGTCTTGCCAAGGATGAGGAAGAATCTGACCGCCGAAACTCATCCAGGTGATGAATACGATATCGACAATATCATCCACTGCGTAGCCTTAGAATTGCGTAGCTGTCGATATTGGATTTCGTCATAGAAGTCATCCAAAATCGGCACCAGAATTTTTTTCATCCAAACCGAGGCTCCTGCCCGTGAAAACTTAACTCGCGCGGGAAACTGCCCGAGTCTGCCCGTGCATTTTTTTTTTTTTTTCTACCATCCGTATTTGGGAACCAGAAAACTAATGTGATTAGAGGTTTTGTTTTGTAAATGATCACATTACATTATGAAAAGAATAAAATAATAATTATTATTTATTGATAGTCGAAGTTTTTTTGCATAAGAGATTTACCAATAAACTAATCAGTTCATATATATAAAATGATCACCAGAATCATTTGACTTTATTTTTGTTTTTCAGGAATTACATGAATGAGGTTTTTATTCTTTTTTAATGATTATTATTATTATTATTATTATTACTGATATTTATTTACATGTTGTATATTTTATTCTTGCTATAAAAGCTACACAATATGTATTACTATTTTTTAAAAATTAGCATTTAAACTAATAAATTAAGTTTTTTAGATTATACAAAATTCATTGAAAAATTAATCAATGCGGCTATTGTACACTAAAACATGCTATTAAATTTTATATTTTATATTTTCTATGCTTATTCATTATAACATAATATATCTAAAGATTTACAATTAAATTATTTTATCACTTGTATTATGGTGATGCAAAATCAATTCATGTACCTTACACATTGAATGCATATCACATTGTCTAATATAAGAAAATTATCACTTGTGTGGATAGAAATACATGTATATTTACAATCTTTTGTTTTTATTGGCCAATATTGAAAAAACACTATATTGCCACATATTAATGATGACATGACAACATCTTATCATTTACTAATGCAAAAATCTTGCCATTTACTAAAAATGTGATAAGTGTGCTATTTCTATTCAATATCATATCATATTCAATATCATATCTTAAATCATGAGGTAGCATGATTAAAACTTACATTTTATAAAAATCATAATTTAAACACCATATAGTAGAATTCATATATATATATATATATATATATGCATTAATAGTAATAAAATAACAATGCATATACCACATGGTAGAATTATAATATATATATATATATATATATATATATATATCAATGCATCAATTGTAATAAAACATCTATACAGCAAAGTAATTTTAGCACCTAGATATTTTTTTAAAATCACTTTAAAATCTATTTTTGTTTATTCTTTTTGTATTTATAATGATGCATTTTAAATTGCTAATTTTTTTTTGAAAATATCTATAATATTTTAATAGATTCAATTAAATATTTTAAATAAATAAAATTTGATATTAGTAATTAATTAGAAAGTAGTATTAAAAAATCTATGTATCAATATATTGAAAAAATATTGTTTATAATCATTGTAGTTTGTTTTTTAATTTTATCCATACAACTTATATTTTAAGCTTATGTGAATTAAAATTAGTTTCTTATTGTTGTAAATATTAATATTAGATAAATAAATAAGAATATAATTTTAGGTATAATTATTTTTATTTTTATTTTAAAAATAAATCAAAATTTTATCTTTAAAAATACCTTATAAATTCTTTAAATAATTTTTCTTATACTTTTATAAATTGTTTTTAGAATGATGTCAATCTTAAGTACTCTTCTATATCAAAGGTAGTCAATATTGATATTAATCTTAATTTTTATTAAATTTTTTAAATTAAATATCTTCAAAGAAGCTATATACTCTAATTCATTTGGTGGCATGATTAAGTTTGAGAATTCTTCTAAATTAAGTTTCAATAATGTAAAATTTTTAAAAAGTAAATCTAGAAATTTTTCTATAAAATATATTTTTTTCAATTATAAAATATTTAAATCTGAAAGTTTTTTAAAAAAATCTTTCATGTAGCATTTTTAATGCTTTATTTGATATTTCTTCTTTTCAATTTTTTTATATAATATATTTAATAAAAAATATTTTAAACTAAGAAAATACTTAATCAACATAAAAAAAATATGCCTAATATTCTTAATACAATTTTGTAAGAAAAAATACCACCATTATAACTTAAAAAATTGAAGTTTTTTTAAGTTAATAATATATATATATATATATATATATATTATAAACCAACATAATTAAATATAAAAATAGATTAGAATTTCTATATAAATGATTTACTTAATATACATAAAAATATACTCTAAATATAAGATTAATTTACTTAGATAATAACTTCATATCTATGTATATATATATATATATCTAAAAATCATAATAAAAATTATATAATATGAAAATTAAAAAACTCCAATCTTTAAATTTTAATTCTCTTTTCATTATTATTAATTTTATATATGTCATTTAGATAATATTTAAGCAAATCTACCTTGTTTAATAATCCATAAAATGGATTCACATTCAATTTCGACATTTGTGTATATTTATGCTTCATTTCTTTTTCAAAAATATTTCTACCTATATAGTTGATCATATACTCTTATCATTCTATCTTTGTTCATTTTTACCAATGAATGGTAAATAAATTTATTTAATATCTATTTTTTTTACTATTGGTCCATATTTGCAATATTCATTCTTTTGACATGCCTTGTGGATACCTATCACTACAAAAAAAAAAAAAAAAAAAAAAAAAAAAAACAACATATGTCCAAAAAAAATTCTTTTCTTTAGCTTTCAAATTTCTAAAGTTTATTCCTAATAGCTTCCAAATCTTGGAGATACTATTTTTTTTTTTATCTCCTTCCAACTCTCTACTGTTTTTCAACTTTTTTAAAGCTTGCTCCCAATATTTCAATCTCTTATTCTTTCTTTAAAATGCTTCTATAACTATTAGATTTAATGGTAGGCCATTACAATTTCTTATAATGGTTTATCCAATCTTAATAAATTCATTAGTCTAATTTTTTTTGCCACAAAAATAAATAATAAACAGCTTTATACTTATTTCTTCAGCAAGTTCTTCGATATTTATTTTACAAATCTCTTTACTACAATGCTCTATTACTTTTGAATCTCAAGTTGTCACAATCAATGTACTACCTTTGCTAGTAAATATGTCATCCATAGATACAACACCTTCGATTTGACTTTGATTCTTTACATTATCAAAGATAAAATTCTACTAATATCAATTGACCTTAGTATTTTGTTTATTGAAAGACCTTTTAGTTTTTGATTGATTTATTTTTTCTATTATTTTACATATGTAAAAGTAAAATTCTGAAAAATATATTCTAGTTTACATTATGAATTGATAACAAATGGGTTTTTGCTTTTACATGTGTACAAGTATCCTCTTTGCAATAAATTTTGGAATGTAAACACAGATACACAAACTATGATATACAAACTATGGAAGATCAAACTTTTGAATAGCATAAAATTTCCCAAAGTGCAATGGTCAACCAAAATATAATTATATCACATTTTACATCAATGTGATTTGAATACAAGACACTTCAAATGCATCAACTTAATCGAATATGTAGTTCCATTTTGTTCTTTGATTGAATCCAACATGTCAACCTTAATTGCTTTATGAACAGTTCATTACAGTGCTTAAAACACAAACAGCAAGAACGATAAAATAATATCAGTAACCAAGACTTCAGATGAATAGTCATTATTAGTGTATAATTAACCCGTGCGTGCTTACAGAAGTTGGATTTTCATGAATAATACAAGCCGTTGTTGTTGAGTGATCCAAATGACGCGGATTTGGGGAGCACCAACACTACACTTTTGGCCCTGCATCCATTACAATGTCACGTAATATTATGCTCTCTTTTATGGTGTCTACCTTTGTCAAGTTTCACTGTACAACAGACTGTCGAGTCCCTCTGTCTATCTACTACGTATTTATGATCATGTGACTGAGCCTTCCAGGCGAGTTCGAGCAGGACTTCGTCCGTGTTTTGACAAGGAACTGCCCAGTTTCGTGCGTCGCCTGGAAGAAAACCTGATGGACAACTTTCCTACTTTAACAAACCGCGGACCTTCGTGTCTACCTTGTGACTAGATCCCTCTACAATCCACGAGAAAATCTTTGCAATATCTCGGTGGCGCCGATGAGGGGAAACCTCGGAGTGTCGTCAACCGACCGCTCCAGTTGCAGCAACCTGGACAAACTCTAACTGACCGTTACACTTGGTCGAATTCGGACAGGTACAATAAGTTCACGAGGAAATGTAGCTGTCCCATCCGAAATTCAAGTCAAGCTCGCTACCTCTACATTGTAAGAAGTGGTTCTGCTCCATGGGATTGATCACCGCCTTGACAAGGCCGCTGTGCATGGTGGCGGCGGAGCCGCAGTAGAGATCCTGCAAACTAGAGTAGCTTGTACTTGTGCTGCCGCTGTGGATGGACCCAAGTCCATTTGAGCTGTGGGGGATGTCGCTTAAATGGTGGATCCCCACCCGCTGCGAGGTCAGCCGCTCCATGGCCAAACTGGTCGCAAGTTGGTTGGCATTATTGTCTTTGGGGGAACAGTCTTGAACAACCTCAGACAGGACGCCGTTCATGGGTGACGACGCCATGTTCTGAAAGGAGCTCGTAGACCAGAAGTTTGCGACGGGGTTGCAGTGTGGAGATGACGACGACACTACACCTGCGAGAGCGGTGGTGGTGGCGGCATGAGCTAGGCGAGCTTGGGGTCCTCTAGCATTGTTGGATCCCTGCGTGCGGAGGCGGTTAGCACTCATCTCTTCTTGAAATTGTGGAGAAGACTCCTGCCCAACACCATCCTCATCCTCTGAACAAGAATCATAAGACCCACTTCAGTTGGCGATATGCTGCCAAAGCCGAGGATCCAAAGTTTGTGTGCATTCCATACCATCCCACCCCAGCCGAACCATTGATTCATCAACACTTGAGGTCATTATCTTCATCTACACCCTAATTTTCAATTACACACACACACACCAAAAAAAACATTGCCTAGCATGCCTTCTATAGCTTCTACTTAAACCAACGCTTGCATACAGTGGCTTATAAATTGCACCCCTGATTAGATTAGACAGAAATCTAGACATTACAGCAACGATCATTCTAACGTCGCCCTCCACGAAGCAAACTCGCAGCATGTGGAAGGACTCAAAATGGCAACATTATGGGTCAATATGCATCAGATGGAAGCTGATGAAAAAAAGGCAAACTCCGAACTCATGTACGAGCAATTGCCTGCATCAGTGATCTAGGTGTTAGCGGGTTCCAAAGACTCACAAAGTATGACCTACACAAACAACCCAAACCAGTGTCTTTAGAATGGTTCTTAGATCTGTGCAGGGGAAGTATGTCGAGTTAATTTACCGGTAGCGCCATGAGGCTCCGCACTTCCGGAAACGCCACCGCTATCCTCAGCGTTGGCTGTGAGGTTTGTGAGGAAGCTCTTCTGAGACGAGGTGTCCGAATTTCGAGACGGCTGCCGAGGTAACTGATGTAGGGTCATGAGTGGGTCGGGCTGAGCCATGAGAGGCATACCGAGAGTGGAGAAACCTAAGGGAATCATACCCACCGTGGTTACTTTATTGGCCAGCTCCGTCAGCTCCGCGTGCGCTGCTTCTAAGCCTGGTGATTCTGATGTGTGGCTGGCGAGAGTTTCTTTTGCTTTCTCCAAAATCGATTGCAGGTACTTGCCTTGCGCTTCAATACGCAATTGTAGGTGTTTTTGCACCTGCGACGGGCAAGAGGATCGCAAGAGCGGCATTCAGTAAAGATACTTTCAAATGGACACGTTAAGGTCGACATAGATAATGACCTCACTTGGCAGAGTTACTTGAAATAGTACCTCTAATTGGTCCTGTAACCGCTGCTGTACTTCGAGCTGCAACTGGATGGCCTCCGTCATTTGCAAGCCACTGTACACACACATGATTGCAAACAGGAACCACTTTCAAACATCAGATGAGCACAGCCCATGTTTGTGTCTAATCAAGCAACTGGGGATGCTGAAATTGGATATAGAGGTCCCGCTGAAGAAGCAGAAGACAAACGATTATTGCTTTGAAAAAAACAAGAGGCCCACTTATACTATATGATAGTTCTGGTACTCACTCTTGATGATTTTGAGATTTTTGACTTCCATCGGACATAGAGTTGGATCGTTGCAAGTCTGAGGAACCTGCTACATTGGAACAGTCACGTTAGAACCTATTTAACTGAACTCAAAAGTTCTGAGAAATTGGGAAAAATGCCATGTGATCAATGTTCTGGGATCATTTTTGCTGAGGTCCAAGGCAATTGTTCATTTTCATGAAACACAAGAAATAACACTTAGTGCATCCCCGAGCAGCTGTGGCTTACCATTGTCTTTGTTGTGGAAGTGCTGATCCCTGTTGAGCTGCTTGCCAAGCCTGTACTTCTGCAGATCCACTCTCAGTTAGGTAGCCATTATCACAAGAACTCCTAGAGGGACCCAGACACTAGACCTTTGACCATTTGAGATGCCAAGTTCAATTGTGGCACCAAAATACTCGCAGCAATGCTAGAGGAAAAACCGAACAGTGATTTAGAAAGCACACCTGGAGGTGGCTCTTCAAGTGGTAAAGGGTCAGCCCTTTCACCCCCATGATACGCATCACGGACTTTGGAGTCGCTTCTGCAAAAACCAAAAACAAAACGACATGTTTAGTTAAACGCAAACATACACTAAGCTGAAAACAAATGACAAAAACGACCTCGCAACAAATAGGGCAGACCCCCTGTGAGGAGTATGAAGCGAGCTCGAGACTTTGTCCACATTCCTAGATTCGCAGACTTTCTCTGAGCCATGGCACCACCGAGGTGGCAAGCGATACAAAGCCTGGTCGATAGAGATGAAACTCCTGCTTGAAGGAAGAAACTCTCGTTAGCGGCTGGGTACTCTACAACCGGAACCAATCTAAGTCACGCCTGCTGTGGAATGTGTTCAAGAACTGGAATCTCTCACGTCGTTCAAGATGAATGTCGACGGCATCACAGCAAAAAAGAATCTCCCCATATGTTTCATCACTTTCATACCACTAACTACGTTGCCAGTATAAGAGGCCATATTTGTCGTTTAAAGCTAGCGCAACACTTTCCGAAGCATCCCGACTCGTGATCAAAGTTTGTCGCCAGGCTCAACGTAATTCACTAGGTTCACGTTTCAAGTGCTGGTTGCACCTACAATGAAGGTAGTGCGTCGTGTCTGCTGCGAAGCCTTTTGGAACCCTATATTCCGCTCACAAGACTTGCGCTCAGCATCCGTGGAACTCCACTAGACACTGTGGAATCTGGCTCCACTAAGAAACCAGAACCGGGTCGCAGGTACTCAACATGAGGCATCCTAGAGGTATATTCAGGAAATTAAAATGCCTGCAGCAATTCTTACATCTGAACCGTGCAAGAAGTACCAGAAATACGACCACTGTACTGGAGTCCACTGCGTGTGTTGCACTCTGGTACGATCGTGCAAAGCCGCTTAGTGGTTCATGTCGTAGTACACTGGAACAAAAGAACTTGGTCGGGGAGGTTATCGACGATAGAAAGTTGAGGTCCATTGCGGAAGCAGAAGGGAAGTTCTGCAACTCCTGACTAGAAAAAAAAAACAAAGGCGATTGTCGAACTTACTGTCAGCCCCTCCGAGCTGCGTGACGGCGTCTACAAAGCGTTCGTGGAGCTCGGGGGTCCATCGCAGACGTGGCTTGGGATCGGCGGGGCTCAGAGGAACCATGTCGCTTCCATTCATGGCACTGCTGTAGGGAAATTGCAGCTTGTCAGGGATGTATAAACTGCCAGATGATTGGTGCCGTTGTTGAAACGTCCCCGGATTCATGTATTTCTTCATCGAAAACATCGTGACAGAAGCTCAACCCGGCTGCCGACACTCGCTGATCAAACCACTTGGAACGATGACCAATAATCGTCACAGTTTTGAGATGCTCGCGACGGTCCTGATCGACCAAATGAGAGCCGAATCTGTTTAATAGTCGCGCCTAATTCCACTCAGCCCTGCTAGTCCCCGTAGAACGTGCAGGTTTCTGCGCTAATGTGAAGATCAGAGCGAATCGCGGCCGCCGTCTATACAATATCCATGTTCTCAAATTCACGCTTCCATGAAATGCACGCCGTAGCAAACAGAAACCGCCCTGCAACGATTGCAAACCACTGGTTGAAACAGTGACTTAATATAACTTCTCGCCCTCTTGCAAAACTCGATATCTAGGAAACACCAACCTACCACGACGAATGCAAAACTGTGACAAAAAAAAACAAAGAGGGTCTGCTCACTAAAACTCACGCCACCACGCTCAAGGTTCATCGACAACTCATACCCTGGGTTCGCAGCGAAATGAAACAATCGGTGGTAAGTTGCAGCGTGGTTTATGATCCTCCGACAACTTCCCAAAAGTCCTTCAAGTCTCTCTCTCTCTCTCGCTTTCTCTCTTTCTCCCTTTCTCACACAAACAAGCACGCAAAGCATCAGCAACCCCTTTTGCTCCAGCGAAATTCTGCTCAGTGCGGATGATACACAAACTGGAGGAGAACAACGGTTGGCGACAGGGAAGGGGGTTAGACAGGAGCAGGAGCCTAGATTGCGGAGCTCCAAGGCATTGAACAGAGAGATGACAGCCCACGAGCGGGTGGCGAGATGAAGTAGTACCCGCAAGAAGCGACAAAGGAGCTGGAAACTAGCAACAATCCGCAGCGGTGGGAACAAGCAGCGAGTACCCGAGGGGAATGGTCGCAAATTGGCTCCAACCGGACGCTATGGGAGGCAAAAAGGATAGGCTGTAGGGTCTAGGGTCATATATAGCACCTCCCTTGCCACCAATTCCTCCCTCCCTCCCTCTTCCTCTACTGCTGCTGCTGCTTCTTCTTCTGCTACTTCTACTTCACCCTCCCCCACAACTCAATCTCTCCCCCCTCCCCCGCTCAGCTGAAGTTGCTTCCGCTTGGGGGATCCTCTTCCCACGCCTTGTCTGATTGTTTTTTCGGGTGCTTACTTATAATATCCTGTGCCTCAACATTCACACATTTTCGTAATAACATCCAAAAGTTGTGCGGGTCCCACACTTCTCCACTCTCGTTCAACTCATCTTTACCTTGTAAGATTTTATTTTTATTTTTATTTTTTTTCCTATTCTGGATTTGATGTTTTTGGTGTGAGATAACGGCTTGAAGAAGTGTGTTTTCGTGGCGTTGCTTCAGACTGTAGCGGAATGGTGTGTGGCTCCCTTCTTGTAAAAGTCTGCAGATTCACAGTGAGCTTTACCTGGACATGAAATGTGCATTCCAGCTGCATCGCGCCTCTGTTCTATTGTGGCCCACTTCCAGTCTTGTTTCTTTGTGGGGTTAGAAAGATCAATAGGGAAGTGTGCAATGCTGGAGAAGAAACATACTGTATTAAAAATATTAAAAATATGCTATGGTAAATATGTTTGGATTTCTCAAAGTTTGACTTGGAGCAGTTTGGTACTGAGACAACTAAATGTATCAATAAATCAAATGTAATCCTGCATGTCAATATTTTTTATCCTCTCAAAAAATACACAAATATATACACATATAAGTCACACCATGTATTTTATTTTTCTTAAAAGTAAAAATCTGCCTTCAAAAACAAAAGACAAGGGAAAAGATACTTTCTTTCTCTTTATTTAAAAATCTGATATTGTGAAAAAAAATTAATTCAAAGGAAATATCCATGGACAAAGATAATAGAAAAAAGGGGCTACACCCAACATTTACAACATGGATGGAGAGGGATGTTATCTGTTTCTGTGTGAGTGTGTGAGTGAGTGAGTGAGTGTGAGACTGTCTGAGTGGAGCCCAGCTTCTCTCCCTCCCAAGAGAGAACTGAGCATGGCACAGACACACTCAGACACATACTTCAAGAGTGGAGAGAGAGACTCAATGAGTGTGTGAGTGCAAATGCAGTGAGCTGGATACATAGATACACTGATATTTGTGTGTGTGTGTGTGTGTGTGTACATATCAATCAGCAGGCTTGGATTCCTCTCTTCCTTTTTGTTTCTTTTTCAGGGGAGCTAAATGATAATTGGGTGGTGGTGCTGATGGTGACCAGGATGTGGGGACTACTACATTCCCACTCACACAGCACAACATAGCAGTGTAGGATGGGGGGAAGGAAGGGACATGGGGTCCAACATTACTAATAACTAGATTGATTCATCAATGTGGGGGGGGTGTCTTTGTTGCAACCAAGATTTTACATGTAATATAAGATTTCACACTCTATCTTCCTTCACTTCTTCTCCCTTTACAATTGAGTGAAATAACTGGGGACTGGTGGATTTGTGAGTTGGAAATGTGTTTTTTTTTTTTTTTTTTTTTTTTTATTCATTTCCTTCCCTTTTTGTGCCCCCCTCCCCCCACCTTCCTCCTAAAGAAAAAGCATGATTGGTAGCTAGACAAGGTGATGAGGCTTTGCCTTTCTCATCATCAACATCATCATGGGAATGAAAAGGAAAAAGGAAAGGGCCTAGCTGAAAAAAAAAACGAAGCAAAAAAAATATATGTATATGTATATCACACACACCCAAAATTCTAGAAAATCAATATTAAAAATCAAGAATTAAAAATCTGTAGGATGGGGACACTAGATCAGAGTTTCCCTCCTCTTCTGCTGGTGCTGTCCACACCCACATCCCAGATGCAATGAGAGTGAGTGAGAGAGAGAGGCCACATTCATTCATCCATAATCGCATTCATCTACACCCTGTTCATCCATCCATGTGGCCATGTGATGCTCTGTGCTGTGAAGAGTCAAGGCCGAAGCCAACAGCCAATAGCCATGAAATGAGAGACCAAAGAAGAAGGGCACTTGCACAACTAGACACAGACAAAGTCAAAGGCCCAAACTAACTAAACTAACTGGAAACTACTAACCCCCACTGCTAGCTACAGTTATTAACTACTAGCTAACTACTATTAACTACTTATAGCCAAAGTATTTATTTATTTGTGATTTGTTTGTTTATATCCATGCAACCATGCACAGCCAAGACAGAGCATATGTTCCCTTTGCTGCCTGCCACTCAGCTTTCCATCAATTTCCCACACCAGTAGTGTCCACTGCAATGTCCCCAGAGTCCTCTTAATCCAAAGGTGTTGTTCTCTTACCACTCTTTACTTGTTTGTATGCATCCTCTTGTTCCCTCTGAGGAGTACTCTGGGAACCCATTTCCCCAACCACTTTTTAATTCCAATTCTGAGTTAAATTCTTCACGTCACAGATCTGATGCTGGAATTGTAATGACAAGGCATCAGGACACAGAGAACCCCCACACACACAAAATAAAAATGAGTAAAAACAAAAAGTACAAAAAACAAACAAACAAACAGAGTTCAACCTGGATTGTATCCTAAAACTGGTGCTTGGCATTTCTGTCTCTGAAGCGGTTTGGAAATGCTGGAATATTTCAACAAAAGCTTGGGTTGTGCACTTGATTTGCATGAGAGAACTGAAAAGATACTTCTGTAGTATAATGCTCTGTCATAACCCGGATTATGTAAAAAATGAAAAATAAAAATAATACTTTTGCTATCCTCAAAAAAAGTCCACGGAAGATAAGCTTCGTCCTCTTGTACTTATATATATATATATATATATATTTACAAAGGTTTTCATCATAGTGTTTACTTTTTTGGATAAGCAGTCTTATTTGCATGGTTGAGTTGGCTGCACACACTGTAGAGAGGCCCACAAATTCTTTTTGGGTTCAAACTGAAGTTGAGTAATGTAAAGTGGAAGGAAGTAACAGAAGCATTTGCTGACTTTAGAACAATGTGTGAGTTAAAAGGGGGAACAGTTTTGGGAACAGCTTTGCAACCATTCTTCCAAGTGGACTAATATCTACCCCCCAACTTGCAGTTGACATGTGATCCCAAAGGAGATCCCTGAGATCATGTTCTCATAGCCCCCTGGAGATCATAATGCTCTAGTACAACTCTTGTGGGCATGACATCACAATATACCATATTTATCAGCATTTTGCATATATCTGGAGAAAACTACTACTTTGGTCACTACTTCTTCATCCCCACAGTACTTTCTTATGCTGTTTTAATTTTTTAACACTAGTACAAGTAAATGTGTATGTGTGGATGTATGTTTACTGGTGTGGGCTTTAAAACCCACGTCTTAGTTCTTTGAAATTTGTGGAGTAAAAAGCGGGATCTAAAGTCCAATTTTTTTGTATTTTATAATGTTGATAGCAATATTATTGTCTATGATGTCTACAATAATCACACACATACATGTTATTTGTATACTCAAAAGTAGCACTGCTTAATAATTATTTTTTAACAAGGTCTGCAAAAATTTAATCTTTTGAGATACTGAACAAAGTACCAAATCCATGCAATAGAATTCCACAATTTCGGATATTAATGGATAGAAGGGTGATAGAAATAATTTGGTAAACAAGATAAAAAAAAAAAAAAAAACAAAACAAAACAAAACAAAAAAAAAAAACTTAAAAAGTCCTTTGGATAAACATTGTAGTAAAAAAAATATAAAAATCATGAGATTATATTACACACAAGAACACAAGCTTAGAAAGAAGTGCATGGAGAGCCATTACAAACCCAAGCCCAAAGATGTGGATCACCACTACCTAGCCATTTCCATTTATGCCTAATTATGAGGGTCGACATTTTTGATTAGGATGAATAATTATTAAAGAGAACATTAACATCACTAATTATCTTTTAAATAACAAAAAAAACACTTTCAATTTGGTGGTTTTTATAGAAATTTAAAAACTTCATCTCTTAAAAGATTGAAATAAAAACATTATAGGGTTTAGAATGGTTAGTGAAGACATTTTAGGGGATAGAAAAAAAAGGTTCCTCCTTCCTTCCTTTCCTCTCTCCCTCTGAGGACACATTGAAACCCTAAAATCACACCCTAAAATGAGGCAGGTTCCCCAACCATGGACACCACTGTTGACACCAACACAATGTCCCAACAGTGCCCATATATAAACAAAACAAGTGTGTGAATGTTATGGTAGCCCTTCCACATCTTTCCTTTCAATGGCCAAGTGACTTCAGATTTGCATCATTTGATCTCGCCTTTGGGGTACATGGCTCCCCTCATTCAACTTTTCATCCATGCCCCCACTCCTCTTTTCCATCTCTAGCACTAACAATTTGTTTAGTTATTAGAAGAAGAAAAATAAAGAATAAATTGCTTGAGAATTTGACTTATTGATTGACAAGGGTTCATGGATCTTGAGAGTTAAAGAAGCATGATTATTGCATAAAATTTTATTGATGGCAATTGAAGTGTCTTTCATTCAAATGCTGCATTTAAATGTGTGTATGAATGTTTGTTTTACATTGACGTAAATGTATATTCCAAGGATGGCTTATGTCATACAATGACATCATGGCTATTTGTATGGAATACTTGTGAAGCATTGATTAGGGTTGGATTCTAGCAGGGCCACACAAAAGGAAGAGAAGCATGAGCCACTCATGTATCACTGAGTGGACTTAGAAAGGAAGGGTCCTTACCAATACAAATCCAATCTAACCCCTTAGAAATCCTATTTCATGATATCCTTGAATATGCCACAGGTCCATGTGAGTTAAGAGTGTAGAAGTGATCCTAATTTAAGATCCTTTTGAGAATCCTAATTTTTTTTCTCTTTAGACATGTGTAATGTTTTGGTGATTGGAATAACATGCCAAAG